ACATAATAAACACACACACACACACACACACACACATATATATATATATATATATATATATATAGAAAAGGAAACATAAAAACGAAATGTTTCGTTGTATCCTGTCTGTTATATCATCAAAAAGCGTATCTAAATAAAAAAAACTTGTAAAAAGTAGGCAACATCTGTTATTATATATCTGTGTATGTAACAATATATAATTCTCATTAATAAGAAAGATAATAAGGCTCATATGGAGTAATCTGGCAATTATTTGGATTCTTAAAAGCTTGAAAAAATTTCTTGCAGCCTGCAACATATCTAATGGAATTACAGTTTATGTATATAAGTAACTTGTTGAAAATTGTTCTCTGAATTTTTTGTGTAATTGTTCAGAATTTTAACGTAAATTTTTGGATTTTTAAAAATTTCTAAACAAGATTTTCTAACCATTTTAGAAATTTTCTTAGACTTTTTTTATATAAATTGTAACATTTTTCAGAAGTGCCAAGAAAGTCTGTATCTTTCAAAATTCTTCATGTATGACTTCTCTGAAGTATTCTGAGATTTCTTATTTTTATAATTTATAAAATAATTATATAAAATTTGAAAAAGTAACAATTTTTTTCATAAATTATAAAATAAATTTCAGAATATTGCAAAATTTACATAATATGAAGAAAAGATGTAGATTTTTTTCCGCATTCTTGAAAAGTATTTCAATTTGTATAAAAAAATTTGAAAAATTTCTTGAAAAAGTTGGAAAATAATTAACAAATGTTTTGAAACTTCTAAAATTTTTTTACATAAAATTCTAAAAAATTAAAGAATATTTCCAGATTCGTATGTAATAAAAAATTCTAAGAAAAAATGTAAGTTTGTCAGTATTTCTGAAAATGTTCAAATTCGTATAAAAATTCTGAAAAAATTTTCACCAAGGTGACACATTATTAACGCTGTTTAAGATTTGAATATTGAGAAGCTTGACATATATCAATATTTACTTTGTGCTTGACATATATCAACATTTACTTCCTTTTTTTATTGAAGATAGAAAAAGAAAACAATACAAAAATGAATATTTGTCAAACCAATGAAGCAGAATTAGAAATCTTGCATATATTACAAATATATATAACTATATATTATTATATGCAATTATAATATTACATTACGGAAAAGAGAATTATACTGCCGAGATGAAAATTTCATGCAGCTATAGTATTTTCAACTAGACTTCAAAACTCTCTAATTTTTTTAGTTGCGTACGCGTTTCTGTATTTTTATTTTTGAAGATATCAAAGATCAGGATTCAGTAGGTCGGTAGTTGCTATCAGTTGCTATACAGGCTGATCGATGATGCGCGGAAGCAAGGATAGCGTCGGGATGATCACTACTGCGCATGAAAACGTAACGTCAGTTCTTCATTGGACTTCATCCATGTGTCGATCCAGCCGGTTGAAACGGTGGACACCTGCTAACCTCAGCTAACCTCTCTGTCTATCCTCGACCGGACATCCGGACGAACAATCTCCGCCTAGGAACGTTCCATGCTTGCAGCTAGAATGTCCAATTTGCGGAAATTTATAGGTAAACCTGATTGTCCTTCGTTCTTGTTCAGCAACATGTCGTTTCCGCCGTTGTCTCGCGATACAAAGGTTATAGTGAGAGGCGAGACTGATCTCTTTAACTCAACAAAACTCTTCCATTCGTTGATACTTGGCAGATTTTTGTATCCTCCCGATTGTCCTTTTCGGGAAAGCTTTCGGATTCCTTCGTGGAGTTCTCAAATGTCTTGAGAAACACGTTAGATATATTTCAGCATCACATGCATTTCTAAGTGTATCAATAATAATGCTTTGTTAGTATATAAAGTAAAATTTGTAAACATTTAACACAAAACATTTTTAAAATGACCTATGGTGAATTCAATCACTCACACTATACTGGATCAGTGCATCTATTAAAAGTTGCTTCATATAAAATATCTCAATGCTGTGATACAATATAATCAACTTTGACAATTAATTAAATGGCATATATATATATATATATATATTTAACATATATATTTTGTTAATTAATATGACAATATTATTAGTAGACAGTTAATTTTTAAAAATATTTATATACTTTTACATTTAACTTTGCTGATTTCATGTAAAGTAGCTTTTAGTATGCATTGATCTAGCGTAGTGCAAAAGTGACTGAATTCGCTAATAGGGTAACACAGTCGACTATGTTATCTTTGACATTAACATTTAATTGGCAAATAACAAGGATTTACTGTATCACTGATAACAATGATTCACTATATCACTGTATCAATTGTATCTCTTGCTGGAAAACATATATATTCAGAATACCTTGTATATTTGCTTTGAGCAATTTTGTATTAAGAGAATCCAATGTTTTCCATTGTACTCCAATTGTCATAGATATCGGAGCCAATTTAACAGATTCCATGTACCAAGGAGTCTATCATGGATCTCAGAAACATCAACCAGATTTAGATAAAGTTCTAGAGCGAAGTTGGAAGAATAATCTCTCGAAAATCATCATTACAGCTGGCAATGTAGAAGAAAGCAAGAAAGCTCTTGAAATAGCGAGAACTGATGGCAAGTATATCCTTAAATATGTAGGAAATTGTATTAATATAAATCTTTCTGTGTTCAAATTAATCTATTTTAATTGTAGATCTCTTGCTAATTTTAATTTTTCACTTACACACTAAATTAATGCATACTAAAAATTGTTATACATGAAATTAAATTAATATAGTTAACTAGCAAAGTTGATTATATTATGTCACTACATTTAGATATTTTATAAAACAGCTTTTAATATGCTATTCAGTGTACTTCAAATGATCATAATTCATGATTAATCCCATGCAGGAATATACATTTTTTTTGTGATGCTAAATATAATCTTGTTAATTATTAATTTTCGAAATGAAAATTTTTCAATTATATAAAAAAAAATGCAATACTTGATTTAATATAAATGTATACTATAACACTATTTAAAAATTAGTTAAATGTCTCAAGGTCATAAGACCCATATATTTAAGTTACGAGTTAAGTTTATTTTTGAGGACGAATGACTGATCGTCATCAATCAACAAATTGCAGACAGACTGTATTCGACGGTTGGTTGCCATCCGACCCGTTGCAATGAATTCGAGGAGAGTAGCAATCCAGAAGAATATCTCAAATTATTATCGGACCTGGCGCTGAATAACAAGGACAAAGTTGTCGCTATCGGTGAGATGGGCTTGGATTATGATAGACTGAATTTCTGCCCCAAGGAGACTCAAAAGAAGTACTTTGAGCTACAATTGTCATTGTGCTCCACATTAAAGCTACCAATGTTTCTGCACTGCCGCAACGCTAGTGACGATTTTGTGCGAATTCTGAGAAAACATAAAAACGAATTGACGCCGGGTGTTGTGCACTCCTTCGACGGTAACCCGGAGGATGCAAATTCCATATTGCAATTAGGCTTGTACATCGGCGTTAATGGATGGTAAGATTGATGATGTTCGGTCATTACACTGATTAGCACACATTATATGCTTTGTATAAAGTATTCAAATGCAATGGCATAACTTTAAATGAAATGATACATGTATATTTTGTTAAATAACGTAACAATATGATTATTATAGACATCTATTTTAATTAATTTTAATCTCGCTTCAACTTACTTCTTTTTTCAGTTTTAAAAATTAGACAAAGATGAAGAGTAAATTGAACCGAGAGATTAAAATTAATTTACAAAAACAGACATTAAAAATATTTATGTTTTTACATTTAACTTTGCTAATTTTATGTATAGCAGCTTTTAGTATGCACTAATTTAGTGTAATAGAAGTGATTGAATTCATTATGAATATGTGATTCTCGCAAGAGTTAAAAGAGAAAAGGAGGATCTAATAATCTCTTTTGTTTCGCATGTCAGCTCGTTGAAGACAGAGGAAAATCTTTTCGCGATCACTACCATTCCTTCAGACAGGCTCATGATAGAGACTGATTGTCCATGGTGCGAGATCAGGCCGACGCATGCATCCGCGAACGACGTTATCACGCATTTTCCATCTGTGAAGAAAGAAAAATGGCAAGCGGATCAGATGATTAAAGGACGGAACGAACCTTGCACGATAGTGTTAGTATACTTTTTTTTCTGCAGATAAAGTGAGAATTACATACAATATTTATTTAAATTAAACATTAAATTTTTTTCAATATTTTTAATATTCCTCCGGAGCTGACACCCAAATTTTTAATACACTCACTTACACTGGGTCTGTAAAATTCATTTAATTTATAAGTCTGTTCTTTTTAATTAAAGTTTTTACACGGTTCTTTCTTCCTTTTTTTTCCATGTTGGAGAGAAAAAGAGAAAAGATGAACTGTGCAAGAAGCTTAGCTAAAAAGAACAGACCTCATGTTAAAAGGCTCTTTCAAGGAACAGTGATAAAAAAATGAAAATTAAATATATTTTAATAGAAACTTGCAGATGTAATATAAAGAAAATTGAATTATTTGACATTTTTAATAGATTTTGAGTGGGTTTAATGAATTCACTGTCACTCTGAAGGGATATAATTGCATGAGTCGAATAGAGGAACGGTGTGTGATATGATCCTAATTAATTGCAGTCAAATATTGGAAGTTCTAGCGCGGATCAGAGATGAGGAAGAGGAATACCTGTGCAATCAAATCTACAAGAATACAATGAAGCTCTTCTTCCCGTATGAATTATAGTATGCGAATACTCGATGCTACAAAAATGCAAGCGAACTTAAAGTGCGTTGACGGAATACGCATTTTCATGGAAGTAATCAGGGATAAAAGCTGTGAACGTGCACGCAAAACAGAGTGAAGAAATTTAAAAGAAAAGGCACGCTGAAATTTTATTGAAGGGGGGAAATAAGACAACTCATTTTTACATACGTGGCTTTATGGAAGTGACTGTCACTATCCACACACAGATCTCTCTTCCCATGTAAAACTTTAATATATTCTTGTTAAAATTATATTATCATATCTCATATTCATCTATTGCATTTCATCGCTATTATTACCATCATTTCATTATTATTATTATATTATATTACGATATTTATTAATATATATACTATTCTGCTATTCCTAAAAATATCACCGTTGTTGCTGTTATTATTCTGATCCATTTTTTCGACACGATTTTTTTCTTAAAATCCTTTTTTTTTTATTTGTAGTAGAGTCCATCCTTTACTACATCTACAAGAAGAGCTGTTACGAAAAAATTTTTATTCGATCATTCAATGTAATCGAATATATATATTCAATCAAAATCCTCAAAATTATAAATGAAAATACAAAATACTAAAGATCGCACTTTCGAACGATTTGCGTACAAAGATCTAATGTTCGGATATACATATATATTATTAGTTATAATAATTTTAAAGAAAATGACAGAAAAATATTTGTCTTGATAAAAAATGTCCGCAATTGTTCCGGTTTATTAGAAGATCGCGAAATTTTCTTCGTCAGGACCAACCAAAGCAAGATATAGATTTTCTATTCGAGATATCACAGGTAAAATGGCTGACGCATTCGTGATCTTCGGAAAATATATATGTAACGCTTCCATGTCATAAATAATAAATGCGGAGAGTCGCGTGAAAAGGCGGAAATTTCGCCGTAATTCAACGCAATAATTATTCATACAGTAAACCATTGGATTTTATTCATGGCACTTTGGAGAGAGTTTGCACTTTCTCGTACACCCAATCGTACGTTTGAGCGGCGTACGATTGCGTCGTGTCAAAAGCCCAAATGGCATAATTGCGGAGATTATCAGGACTAAGCTTGCCTCTGAAAAAAAAGGGGAAGGAAGGTCACGGTCAGATATCCGATTACATTCTCTGCATATGATGTATGAGTACACTTACACAAAGACGTTCTTCTCCAGCCACTGTATCGATGCGCTGGAATGTTCAATAACTTTCTCTCCAATCAAAATGAAAGAAACTTTCACAAACTCCAGTCCCTGAAGACTTCGGGATTTAATTTGCTCCAAGATTCCTGGAGCGTAATGTTCGATCTGTATAAGAGAAATAAAAATTGTTAAGAGATATATTTTTATGCGAAGGGTTGTTCTCTGAATGAAAATATTTTTATCTTCATTATACTTACTGTGTCAATAATTATAGGTACGTTCCTTTCAACATATGCCGCGACATTGTTATATAATTTAATTGAAACATTTCTTACTACAAGATAGATATCGCCAGCTAATTTAATGTATGGTGCACACAAGTCTACAACGGCTTTGTAATATTCCGGTGAGCTATCCTTAACTGCTTTGTGTCCTGCAGACCAATAGAACTTTAGAGTAGTCCATGCCTTTTCTACATGTTTCAATATTCCGCTAGTTTTCAAGAACTTTCCAACTTGGGATGCTACAATATATAAAATGCCAATGTACAATAAAGTAAAAAAAATTCAATTTATATCACCAATTTGGTTAAGAGAAAAATTAGAGAAGCGAAGATATTAATGGGCGTGATGTTTATGATAGCAATGAATATGTTATTGATGAATCATTACTAGTTCACGAGTTACTGTTGAACAAGACACCATGATAATAACTCCCTGAACAACAATCTTACAGCAAATTTTGTCACTTGCCCTGCACTAGAATGTGTATACTAAAAAGATGTTAATTAAAATTGATAATAAAGCTATATGAAATTGACAAAGTTAAATGTAGAAGCATAGAAATATTTTAAATGATTAATAATGATATTGTCTTTTTATTTAACGGAATATACATGTATTTCATTTTCAAAGTTGAGTTATATTATATCACTGCATTTAGATGTTTTATAATACAACACCTTTAATGTATATCCAGTGATAGTAACAAATGATTGAATTCATTATGATGAAATATTTGGATAGTAATTAATTCTTAGTATACACAATAGATTCATATTTTGGGTTAATTTTTATCTCTGGCTATGATCAATAGCAACTTTGCAACTGTAAAATTTTTTAATATAATTAGTCTTACCCTTAGCTTCTTACACTGTTAAATTTAGAATGTCAAATTATATCCGATTTGAGTTATTTTTAATCATTTCTACAAGTTGCTATTGCTTTTACTTAATATGTCGTTATTTTAATCAAAACAATAGAGTTTAATAATTTGATTCAAGAAAATGTATTAATTTTGACTCGAATTTAGTTATTATTTATTGAGTGCATACATTAATATGAACTACAGTTGTCTACTTTGAAACTAAGCAATTCAATCATAGTAAGGGATTGATTTACATTTCGATATACATGAAAGTGAAAAATAACAAAATATTCAACTCAAGAGATGGATTGTTCTTTTGATAATTGAAATAAATAATTGAATAAATATATAAACCAATCATATTAAAGAATCTCAACAGTTGCTATTTTTTTTAAATAGCCATTTTATAAGTGTATAAAATTAAGATTCTTATATAACATTTTTAGAAGGTATTTGTTTTTAATTTATTAAATAAATAATTGTATACAAATGTTGTAGTAATTATTTGGTGCTTCAATATTTAAAAAAATGCATAAAATCCAAATGACTAAAGATTAGAATATAATACATAAATTTGAAAGAATTTAGGAAAACAAAATGATTAGAATGACAAGAAGATATGAGATGAGAAGCAAATAGATGATTAATACCTATTGTTATTCTCAGGAAGTACTTACCTTCAAACGAGCCATGTTTCTGTGTGTCGTACGCTACGATACCACCGATCAAAAGCAATAAAAGGAGACTAGCAGATCTCCATGGAAAACCACGGCTGGAAGAGGTCATTTTTTTCAGTAGTGCCTGAAAGAACACAAATATTAAGGCACACTTTCTCAGCAATGATTTTTTTACTTCATCGCTTCTCCCGGACTTTAAAACAAAAAAACAAAATCATCAAGCGTCACGTAAATCTCGCGTGTCAATCGAACTACATTTCACGCAGCTACATTTCGGCTTCTCTCTGTCACGCGAATTCTAACATGACATCAATAAAGACTTGTCACACAACAACGAATCGATCACGATTCCGAAACATGTCCGCGTAGATGATAATGCGTAGATGATAGATCGGAAGT